CCCAGAGCCACCTCCGCCCCCGGGACTGATGAGGAAGTAACGGAACCGCGGACAACGGCCTGGGGCCGAGAAAGGGGATTCTCCTGGTCTCGATCACGCTGTGCGGGGATCATGCGAGCCCTCAAAGCCCCAGGGATGCAAACAGGAGAGGGGGTGGCAGGGAGCCAGGCTGCCAGAGCCACTGCCGCGACTGAGGACCTGGCGTGGCGAGGTGCACCTGATATGGATAACTTAAGGCAGGAGAGGTTTACGTTGACTCACGGTTTCACTTCGTGATCCGCTGACTTGAAAGCAAACAATATGGCGAGCAGAGCAGCTCCAAGCCCGGGCAGACAGGAAGCCGCGCGAGCAGGAAGAGGCAGAGGCCACACCCCCTCCAGGCCCCACCCAGTGACCTACTTCCGCCGCCGGCCCCGCCTCCGGCCGAGCCGACGGCTGTGAGATCGTGCTCCCGCCCGTCACCTTTCAAAACCCAACCTCTAAACACATGAGATGTGGGGGACATTTTTTACTCAAACTGTTGCGCTGTCCTTGTTCCTAAAATGGCAGCCGAGGCAGCCAGGGAAGAAGTGTCAGTCCGAATGTGTTATAGCTAAATGGCAGAGCTAGGATAGGAACCCAGGACGTTTCTGTCTTGGCCTTAGCGTGAGGGAAAGGGGTACTTGAAACAGGCTTGGAAATTTAGGTAGCATTTAATGCGTGGAAGATAACTGAGCGCTCTTGGCTTTAATTAGCTGTTGAGACTTAGATACGGGGTTTGATCCTGAGAGGCCACAATTTTCACCTCCATGACAGCGGCTGGAGTGATGAAAACTAATAAATCACATAAGCAGTGCTTTGCAACTTGTAAAGCACTGTCAGTTTTGGTGTCATTGTTAATTCCACAATAAACTCACGAAGTGTATTGCTTAGGGTTTTCTAGAGACAGAACCTATAGAAAAAAAAATACAGAATTATGCCAGGGAATTTGACCAGAAGCAGAATAATCCACAATGGCTACCTCCACCTACATAGCCAAGAGGATCCCAGAGCTATGCAGTCCAAGAAGTTGAAAGCCACAAAACAAGAGAGATGAAGGATGCATCACCAGCCTGAAACTGAGGTCTGGCAGCCCTGTAGAATCCCACGTTGAGTCCACATTGACAGGCCATGAAACCGTGGAGTCTGATGTCCAGAGGTGATGGTGGTAGCAAAACACACACCTGCTGAAGCAGGATGCTGCTTTTCCTATGTAGAATGCTGGCCAGCTTCCTTCTTTTTCTTCTCGTCTTTCTGTCTAGAATGCAAGCCTATCGGATGGTGCCACCCAGTCAGGTGGAGGCTTCTCCCCTCAGTTTGCTGGCCTCTACACCGTTATCTCTCCCAGCACCCACCGACACACCCGGAGTGTGCTCTAGTAATTTGCTAGGTGTATCTTAATTCAGTTAAGTTGATAATCACCATTAAAGGTCATAGTCAAAGTCCTCCTCTCAAAATATATGGCCAAGTGCACTGGTTGAAGTCTGGGCACTGTGAAAATATCTGTTCACCGCTGGCCAAGGGATGTCCCAGAGAGAGGCGGTAGAGCTGCAGCTGTTTACTTTCAGAAGGTGCCCGTGTAACATGTGGACCATATGTGCACCAGACTGTAGTCTTCACTTCCTCTCTCAGCTGATTATAGGATGCGCCTCGAGGAGCCATTGGTGCTTGCTGGGGGACAGAAGGCAGAATAGCAGGAAGAGGAGCCATGAGCATTTAGGCCACTTCACCCGCCTGACTGGAACCTTCAGGACGTGCTGTGGCCTCGTCATGTATAAACCACTTCCTCCAGATGATAGATTGTTGCTGTGCATGTTGGCCTTTAGGCTTGGCGTGTTGAATAGGATGTGATGAGCAGCCCAGGTTATATGGTAACTGGGAGCTCCACGGTGAAGAATTCAGTTCCCGTTAAGGCCCAGCAGCAGGACAGGAGGTATTTCTCCATGGGAGAGTTGTTTTGTGCAGATGATGACAGAGCCTTGCTCCCATATCCTAAGGGCATCTCGTGGGGTTCCTCTGTGGGGCCCTGACAGTGCCTCCAAAGAACTCCACTATCTTCCACTGACACCTCAAGTAGCATTGGATCCGCTGGACCATACGGCCTAGAGGCCTGCACAGCAGCTGGGCCTGTTGCCAAGCCCTTCTCTTGCTCTGGACTTCAACTCTCAGCTTTCTTTCTCACTGGGTAAAGGGGGCAGAAAAGAAAGTGAGGAAGGTATTGCTTCCTAAATGAGGTAGGCCCACCAGGCCTTGTGCCTCTTTCTTGGTTGTAGGAGGGGCTGGATGCAGCTAATTATTCTTCACCTTAATGGAATACCCTTGCATTTCTGCATGGGACTCCTAGAAATTTCACTGAGGTAGAGGCCTCTTGAATTTTAGTTGGATTTATTTCCCATCCTCTGGCACACAAATGCTTTACCAACAAGGCCAGCGTGGTTGCTCCTAGTTTAAGACAAAACGCTTTGCTGAATCAACCCCTCTCCAACAATGACTGTTTCCTAGCAACACCCATCACCATGGCACCAAAATGTTAATTATTATTTTTTAAAATGTTTCTTCCTGGCTTGAGCTGGGCCAATTGAGAGGAGTCCTTTAGGCAGGGTCAAATCTGGGAAGTAGTTGGATTGGGTTGATTACATTCTGAAAATTTCAGCTGGCTGTTCTGGGTTTTCTAGTGGACATTATTTTGAGGGTATAGTTTATACAGAGTAATTTTTGTCCTTTGTATTGATGAGTCTACCTCTTAGCAAGTTATTGAAAGGAACAGGAAAAATGTAAGTAGGGATTCTGAAGTCTGTTAAATGGAGAGATTGTGTTTCCAGAACAATGGTAGTTGCCATGGTGATGTTGTTTCTGGGTGGATAAAGCTGGCTGGCAGGTGCTCATCAATGCCCGCTCGGAGGAATGTATTTATTGGCACTTGCAGAGAGATCTGCAAAAATGGCAGTCCCCCAACATAAACATGGCCACTACCCTGAGAGCGGACACTTTTTTCAGCCCTTGGGACTGAAAGGGAAGAGGAGCTGACTGTTCGATGGCTGATGTGCACAGGGGCTGGGCAAGATGTTTTCATTTTTCCTGTGGCCTTGTTTATCTCACAGTGAATTTAGGAGTTCTTATCTTTCTTTGAAAGGAGGAGGGTGAAGCTCAGGAAAGGGAAGCAAGCCAGCTCTGTAGGAGCCAAGAAAACGGGCTTTTCACCGCCCCTCTCTTCACATTATTGATACATTTCAGAGTTAACAAAAATTTAATCAGTATCTGCTCTTGCTCCTGAGCTTTATTTCTTTCAGGTGTTTGTTTCTTTGTTTGTTTTTTGAGACAGGGTCTCACTGTGTAGTTGAGACTGACCTGGAACTCACTATGTAGCCCAGGCTGGTCTCAAACTCACAGCGATCCTCCTGCCTCAGCCTCCCACGTGTTGGGATTACAGGTATGCACCGCTACACCCGGCTATTTCTTTCAGTTTTTAAAAAATGCGTTTTTGTTCTTTGGAAATAGGATCTTGATATGTTGCCCAGGGTATGAGGGTCGCCTTGACCACCTGTGTTCACTTCATCATTCCCGCCTCAGCCTTTCATGCAGCTGGGGCTATAGGCTGTTCCACTGCTTCTGAGTTTTTTGATTATTTTTTTTAATTTTACCGTTTGTTGGTATATATTTTGATACATATTACAAACATTCATCTTGGGGAATTGGTATATACATATCTTGTATCATAATCCTTTTCACTTCCCCTTCTGAATTTTTTTGTGTGTGTATGTGTGTGATATGCATAACAACTTACCCTACCTTTTGTTCACTTGGGCCAATGAATCACCTTGAATTCAATTAGCTAGCATTAAAAAAAGAAAATGCTCCGTTCTCATAGGGAACAGGGACATACGCATTTATAAATCTGTGGCAGTGTCACAGCCTCCCTCCCTGAGTAGATGTGGTGTGGTGTTAGCGTGCCAAGAACTGCCACCCCCTTATTGCTGTCCTGTAGTCCGAAAAAGAGGTATGAAAATGGGGGCCTTATCCGACAAACCTCAATTTGGAGGGCTTGCTTTTCCACTGATGAAAATTAAATCTAGAATTGCCACTGGGGTTCTGATTAGGTGATTCCTTGGAGAAGAAGGTACACATGTCCACTGTCACCTTTGTTATCAACACAGAACTGGCAGTTCTGGCTAGTGCCATAAAGCAAGAGAAAGAGATAAAAAGAATACTGTTTGGAAAGGAAGAAATGAAAATGATTTCTTTTAGCAGATGACGTGATGGTCTATGTAGAAAACGTGGAATCAATACAGTCACCACCCAAAACAGCCCTCACTTCCTGCCTTCCAAACAAATAATGTTTTCAATAAGCCTACAGTACAGATGATAAACATGCAGAACTCAAATTTCTATCTAGTGTCAATGAGAGTGAAATAAAAAAGGTAGGAAAAAATTGGAACTAGAAATTAAAATAACAACAGTAGGGCCGGGGATTTAGCTCAGTGGTTCCGCTGCCGCTGCCTGCCTCACAAGCATAAGGACCTGAGTTTGATCCCCAGTACCAAAATAATAAATACATAAATAAATAACAACACTATCTGCAATTAATTATAAGAAAGGAAAAGGAAGGCTGGGGACTTAGCTAAGTGGTTCCATTGGCTGCCTTGCAAGCACAAGGATCCGAGTTCGATCCCCAGTACCAAAAAACAAAAAAAAAAAAAAGGAAAAGTAGGAAGGAAGAAAGAAGAAAAGGATGAAAAACCTCAAACTTCCACTCTGTTAAAAATTGAGCTCAAAATGAATCATAGATTTAAATGTAAAAAATAAAATTTAAAACATCAGATGTTTAAGATACAAGAAAATCTCTAGGACCTGGTGCTTAGTTGAGAGGTCTTATACATAATACATGAAGCACATTTCATGAAAGAAAAAATACTAATATATTATTGGATGTCATCAAATTAAAAAATTTTGACCATCTCTTCTTGACATTTTGGCTAAGATGAAGAGAAAAAATCTGCTCTACAAATGAGGGCATGAAAAGATAAGCAATAAAATGGAAGAAAATAACTTGATAAGGTGGCACACACTTGTAATCCCAGTTACTTGGGAGATTGAGGTAGAAGGATCTAAGTTTGGGGCCATGCTAGGCAATTTAGGGAGACCCTTTCTCAAAATTAAAAAAAAAAAAAGTCTGGGATTATAGCTCAGCATTCCCTGGGTTCCATGGCCAGTGCCAAAGTACAAAACAAAATCTAGTAGAAAATATTGGCAAATCTCATACCTGATAAAACACTCATATCTAGAATAGTGCGATTTCATTTTCCAACTGTTATTTGCTTATATAGAAATGCAAGTGAAAAAATTCAAGATTATGGAAATTTCCTCTTATTACCTCGATGAATTGTTACTGTTCTAGCAACTTTTTTGTTTTGTTTTTCAGAGTTTTTTTTTACTCTTTGAACTTTTTCTTTACTGATTTTTTCATTAAGTTTATTGGTACTGTTTAGGTATAGTGTGCAGTTACATTCATCAGTGGGACCTTGTACCTTTACATGACAGGTCTTGGTTCTTATTTTTTCCCCCATACCCCTGCCCTCCCTTCACCCCCTTCACCCTTCCCTGTTTACAAAGACTTTGTTTCCATTTTTTCCTTTTTTCATATTTTTTCCCCTTCTTTTCTTTCCCCTCCCCTTCCCACTTTCCCTACTCCTTTAACCCTTTTCTTCCTATTTCACATTATCAATTTTACAATTTGAACCTTATTTACACTTTTAGTTTTTCACACCAGAAAAACTATTTGGTACTTACACACGTGTGTCCCATTTATTTCCCTTAAGAGTATGGCCTCAATGTGCATCCATTTAGCTATAAATGTCTCTAGTTTCTCGTTCTTATTTATTTATTTATTTTGGTACTGGGGATTGAACTGAGGACCTTGTGCTTGCCAGTCTGCTTTTTCTGGTATGAATGTTGCTCTTTCAGTTTTCTTTTAACACTGGCAGTGTCACCCTCTGAAAGTGGAAAAACTCTTACCATGTTTTTAGATGTTTTTATTACTCTTCAGTTTTAATTAAGTAGATGTTTTTCTTGTTGTGATGCATTTGAGGAGTTTTTAGTAATCATACCAGATCAAATGTAACAAATACTTTTTCTTCTGCTTCAAAAACTCTGCATTGTCTTTACACTTAAAGTGGATGTCTTCTGGAGTACATATAGTTAGGACTTATTTTAAAAACTAAATCTGGGGCCAGAGATTTAGCTCAGCGGTTCAGTAGCCTGCCTTGCAAGCACAAGGACCTGAGTTCAATGCCTGTACCAAAAAACAAGCATACAAAACTAAATCTGCTGGGCTGAGGATCTAGCTCAGTGGTTCCTTTTTGTTTTTTCTTGGCGATGAATAGTAAATGCAGTGCCCCAGGCATGTCAGGGAGGTAGGTGCTCACTAACACTGAACCACATCCATACCCCCAGTATTTACTCTTTTTTGTGGTACAAGAGGAGAATCCAAGGCCCTGTGTATGTTAGTGGTGCACTCTGCCTTTGAGATCCATCCCAGCATTTAATTGTTGCTTTGGGGGATGAGGTCAGGGTCTCTCTAATGCTGGGCCAGAAGGCTCACAGGCAGGAGGTAAACGAATTTATCAATAGACAAGGAATATAGGAAGTTTGTTTAAATGACTGAGGGCCCTATCAAGAGAGACAATGGAAGAGGACATCTCTTAGGGTGAGACTTTTTTTTAAACAAGGGAAGGAGGACACGGGAAAGGGTCAGAGTTGGCAAATGTGGATATCTTAGAAACGCATTTTCGGAGCATCCTGCTCCTTGTTAATCTTCAAGGACACCAGTATTGTAACTAGAGTTATACATCGAAGTTACTAATTGTCAAGGCCTCTTGATTAGGCCTCAAAAAGGCTTCTTAGATTTAGCTAAGGAAGTCTGTATACTTTAGCCTTTTGGAAAAAGATACATTAGCTCAAGGGAGAAAACGATGGTTTTGTATTTGCTTTTATCTCCTGCTGTTTTTCACCCCTCATTGGTGCTGCTTTATGAAGTGGGTTGTCAAAGAAGTTTGGATGCTGAAAATGTTAACCCCTTTTTAGCCACATCTAAGTTACACAGGCTGGCCTTGAACTTGCAATCCTCCTACCCCAACCTTCCCAGTAGCTGGGATTGTGAACATGTACCACTCTATCCAGCAAAATCTACCTTTTAATTAGACTGTGGAAAACATTTACTATAATATTATTGTATTTTAATTTAAATCTAACATTTTGTTGTTTTTTTACCTGTTCTTCACGACTACTTTTTCCCTTTGCTGTTCTTTTACGTTAAACTGGGAATTTGAAGAGAGGGAAGGGAAAGGGGGAAAAAAGAAGAATCAAGATGTATCATGTACAGGTACAAATTCCATATGATGAATATTATCATTTTGTATATATATCTAAAATGTACTAATAAAATTAATTTTCAAATGTGAAAAAAATAAAAAAAGAAATCCGGAAAAGATAGGTAAAGGACCTAAAAAGAAAAATAAATAAATAAACTGGGAATTTCAAAAATTCTTTTTAAAGTTTTTTTTTTTTTTGATACTGGGGCTCGAACTCAGGTCCTTGCACTCGCGAGGCAGGCGGTGGAACCACCGAGCTAAATCCTTGGCCCTTGGTATTTTTTTTGGTTTTTGTTTTTTTGTTTTTTGGAGCTGGCAGTTGAACTCAAGCCCTTTCCACATTCTTGGGAAGTGCTCTATCAGTAAGGGACAGCAAGGGATGAATCTCTCTGTAGAACATTATTGCATTTTAATCTATTCATAGTTTTTTGAGACAGGGTCTAACCATGTAGTCAAGGCTAACCTTAAACTCCCTAATGTCCCAGGCTGTCCCCAAGCTTGTGCTCCTCCTGCCTCAGCTCTGAGTACCTGGGGTTACAGGCCTGGACCCCAGCACCTGGCTGGCGGTGCACCCAGAGCCGGTTATTCCCCGAGGCGTGTTTTCATTTGTCCATCAGGGCTCTTCCTGAGGAATCTGTAAGCTACAGCAGCAAAGCACTGGATACTGCTGGCTCCCAGAGGTCCGTTCTAGGACCTCTTCAGAGCCAGCACAGTTCAGATTTGGGCTCCTTTTTCCTCTTCTCAATTTTTCATTCTCAACACTGGAAACCACACAGAAGCAGCAGTTAGGGAGGAGAAAATTATACAAATTCACCGAAACCCCTGCTTCCCTCCTGCCTGACTAATGCGCGTCTCCCCCTCCCTAACGCTGCCTCTGCTTTTGTTCTTTTTCCCATTTAATATTCCTGCCTCTGCTTCCTCCTTGCAGCACTGCAGGGAGAACGTGCTGCTCCGAGTCTCCAGCCTGGCTGTGTTCAGCCAGAGGCAGAGCTGTGAGATCTGGGAAACGTCGCTTGGAAAGGGAAAGTAATCCTCTCTATGTCCCTTTGAAGCTCCATCACCCCTTCAACCCCCGCAGTCTGGCAGGCAGTGCGGCCCTCTGTCTGGCACAGCCCCTCACCGCTGCCCTCCATGAGCCCCCCGCTGCAGCTGCCCCCACTGGGGTCTGGTTCTTTGCTGTTCTGGGCTGAGCTCCCCCTGGCCTCTGCCCCTCCCCACCAGCTCCCCTCCAGGCCCAGCCTCCCTGCTCTGCTCTCCTGAACCCTTCCCAACCCCCACCAGCCAGCCTGCTCCCAGGCCTCCCGCATCCTTGTCACTCAGTGCTTGCTCTGTCTTGCTCGCATTTGTCACTCGCTCTTGGTCTTGCTTAAGCTTCATTCTGCCCTAGGCCTGGCTGATTTGAGGCCCAGGCACCGATCTGTGCTCCCTGTGTATGGTGAGGGCAACAAGGGCAAGGCAGGCAGGCAGCTGATGCCAATATGATCAGTAGCCGCGCTCTGGCTCTAAACCCTGCTCCTGGCCTCTGCAGCATTCACGGAGTGCTCACACCCGGCACACACTGCTCTCCTGAGCTCATCTCAGCTGTCTAGGACTTATCTGCACACACTTCCCTTCCCCTGATCCCTCAGGTGACACAGTTAGTGTGCCGGGGAGGAGCACACTGACCTGGCCTCTGTGCTGGTCTGCCAGGAGCTCCTTGTGACTGGGCAGGATGATGGTCCTGGGTACTCCCTGGCCTCCCTGGGAGCCGAGGGTGATCAGAGCTAAGGTGTGAAAGCTGATGTCCCTTCCACCTTGACATCTGGCTGGTACTTGGGAGAACCGGACTTGGGCAATTCCCCAAACTTTGGACAAATTCACCAAAGTGCATTTGGTAATTGGTTACATGCAACTGCTAAGGCTGCTGTGAGCTGTTTCCTTTTTCCACGGACTCCTAAGCAAGGTCTTACACCGGTGTTGTCTGGGCCCAAGATGTGTCCTCAAGAAATGAGTCAGAGCCTCCATGTGTCTCACACAGTTTATTCACAACCAGTAATGGGGGAGGAGGAAGAAAGCAAGCAAAGAGAAACCCAGGGACACTTGAGTGTTAAAAATCATCCCACCCAATCCTTTCTTATTTTTTTTACAGTTATGTGTAAATAATGCAAAAAACTCTCTCAAGCAACAGAAACCACAATATGAAACATCAGTTTGGCAACTGGCCCTACAGATTTTGAAAAAGTCATCTGTCTACATATATAAATTATTTTAATATTTGTAATTTTATGCTGAGACTTACAAAGGAGAAAATATGTTGGACCACAATAATTGTCCTCTGGGTATAAAAGGAATTTTAAAAATATTTTCATAAAGATGAACATCCGTGCACCAAATGGAGAAAAAAATAAGTCATTTTTATATGTGAATTATAGCAACTTATATGTGAAATGCAATTTTATAATCGTATTGACACCTTTTGTCCTTTGGTTTTAGGAAATTTTTTATACCGTTCTATAATGTGAGAAAATGAAAATAATTCCAGCTATCTATAGTAGTAAGAAATGTTATGCATTATTATGAATTTAAAAAGAAAAAGAAAACAGTAAGGATGCAAGGGAGGAGTGCATGGGGGCTTCAGACCTCAGCTCCTTCTAGTGCAGACTCGAACCGCACAGGCACGGGGAAAGAAGGCTGGGGAAGCAACCAGAGAAACATATATTCTGAGTATTCTACCACCCCTCAGGCTCATCTTGAAAGTTAGCTTGAAACCACAGATGACTACTTCACAGTTCTCGTGTTCCAAGGAAAATTACCTTTCAGGCTAAGAAAGATTGAAAAAATTTAAGTACAAAAATTCTTATTAGGTGAAAAAAATGTTTGACCCTCCAATGTTAAAAGACGTCCTGAGTGTATGTGTGGTACACTGTGTCAGAGGTGTGAACGCAAGTGTGATATCTGTGCTGAGTCCAGGTCTGTGGGGGCGGCCTGGAGTGGGGGGCTGGGACTGTGACCATGGGGAAGGGACAGGCTGGGGAGAACGCACTTAAACGGAGAGAGAACTGGGTATCGCCTTGGAGGTGCGGGGACTGGGCCTGGTTTGGAAGCATGTGCTGCTGGGGGCTCTTGGGGCTGGGCTGAGCAGGGGGCCCCATCTGCTGCTGGAGGAGTCGCTGCTGATAGGCCTGTAGACTGGCTCCTGCCTCTGCTCCCAAGGCCTGGGGGGGGGCTGCCCCATCTGTCCCATGTTCCCTTGTTGCATCTGCTGCATGTGATGCTGGATCTGCTGCTGCTGCTGTCGCATCATCTGCTGTTGTCTCAACATGTCCCGGAACTGGGAAGACATGCTGCCGTGATTCATGTTCATTGGCTGCGCCTGGGGACTCATCCCTCCCATGGGCGGCTGGAGTTGCGGCTGAGGCTGGTGCTGGGCCAGACCAGCCCTCTGCACACCTGCCTGCATGGGACTCATGTTCTGCATGGCTGGACTGGAGAGGACGCCGCCCTGCTGACCTGGCATGGCTGGTGGCTGCAGCCCTGGCTGTCCCTGGACCATGCCAGGCTGTCCAGTGAGAGGCTGTGGATTAGAGTTGGTGGACTTGAATCCTGCTGTTTTATGGCATAGTTGGATCCTGCAGCCAACAGCTGGAGGTTGTACACTAAGCACCTGTTGCTGTTGCAGGGGAGAGCCGGGAGACCTGAGAGTCCGCAGGGGAGGTTTTATAAGGCTTGCTGAGACACAGTGCGTGGTGTGAGTGGGGTCACACCTACCTGGCCCAAACCCGGGTACGTAGCCATGTTCAAGGCTGCTCGTGTTGGACCACTGATCGGTCATGGTTGACCTTGGCACCCTGGACTGGTGTTGCTAGGGCTGAGAGGCAGTGCTATTTGGGTACAGAGAGCTGCTGCTGCATTGGTGGGGGCCCCATTCCTGGTTTAGATGCCCACCAGGACCTCTGGACATGGTAGATGGGTTCATGGCCACTGGGGCCTAGGAGTTATTGGACATCAAGGATTGTAGTGGTCTTCCATAGGCCATCTGGGGCTGTATCCACTGCTGTCTGAATCTGCATTGCTATTTCTAATGCTGCAGGTAAGTGCTCAGCCAAGGATGGCTGAGTAGTCTGTGGAGGAGTTGGAAGGTCACCAGGGCTTTTCCAGAAGAGGTGAGATCAGGCATCTTCTGAGTTTTTGGCAGTGCACATTCAATGTGGTTGGTATGGCAGGGGCTGGGGAGGGCAGGCCCTATTTTTGCCCTGTCACACTGGCAGGCTACACGCTGGCCATCCTCCTGTGCAGCACCTGGGCCTGCCGGGGCTGCAGCTGCTGTTGGCGGAGCTTCTGCCTGATGTTGAAGCAGAATGGCACAGGGCAATAATTCTCATGGCAGCGCTTGGCATGGTAGCAGCAGAGGGCAATGAGCTGCCTGCAGACGGGGCACCTGCCAGTGCTCTTCCGTTTGCAGCCTTTGGTATGGTGTACAACTCGCTTCATCTTCTGGCAGGAAGGCAATGGGCAGTTGGCATCGCGGCACTGGCAGGCTAAGATCAAGTATTGAATGTTGCGCTGGATGCTCAGGCAGCGAGATTCTTCTGGGCTCTGGGCAGCCGCACCCTGCTGGTTGCTGCTGTCGTCATCTAAGCCCAGGCCCAGTTTCTCCATCGGGTGGTTGTGGCTTTTAGTGTGAAAGCAGGAGACACACAAGTCATAATCCTGGGGAAAAACATAGGAGGTACAGGTGAACACTCGGGATGTAAATGTTGAAATCATTTGCAATATTCTGTCTGGCCTAGGAAAGCTCCTTTTGTTTTTAGAGACAGGGTCTTGTATTCCAGGCTGTCCTTGTGTTTGCTCTGTAACCCTGGGCTGGCTTTACATTTGTGATCTTCCACACCTACCCACTAGTGCAGGGAGCACAGCTGTATGTCAGCAAGCTGGCTTACAAAAGCGCCTCTGTATACAACACTTCAGCTCTGCCCCTCACTATGAGACCAGGCTATCTTACCCCAAGGACTGGGGATGCATCATCACAGGTAACGTGTTTCCACATCATTATTCAGGTGATGGGGATCTGCAAGGCCCACTCCTCTTTCCCAAGAGCTGTTGCTTACCTGGCAGACAGTGCAGTGCCAGTGTGTGTCCACTCGGTCCTTGCACTCACAGCAGGTGCAGAGTAACTGGCAGGCAAACCTGCAGGGATGGTTTGAGTGAAGAGGACTCATCCCGACCTCGATCAGATCACTGAGGATGAGAGGGTCAAGGTCACCAATGGGAGGCAGGGAGGTGGATCACAAAGCCGACCTGTGGAAGAGAGGCTCACTATGACTCCGGAACTGGAGTGCTGAGGAAGAAAGGAAGGGGGGCACCCAGCAGGATGTGCGGACACTGGGGGGGGTGTGACCACACCACTTTCTCCTTTCCTCCTTCACCTACCTCGGCTCTCTCTGAGGCTAAGTATAATCCACCTGACACTCACATCCTCTGATCTCTTCCACCCCGTGGAATCAGGCCAGGCTTAGGTCCAGCGCATATACAGTGGACATTTTGCCCCAAGTCTACATGAGATGTAATCCATGCTTTAACCTGAACCTGATTACAAGAGACGGATCTGACAAATCTCAAGTGACACATTCTGTAAAAGGACTTCTCTGGGCTCATCAACAAAATGCTCGTGTCATTTAGGAAGAGGCTGGAACTGTTCATAATGCAAGGTGAATGCGGAGACTCAGCACGATTCTTCACCTGGGACTGGAATCTGAGGACCAGACGTTAGGTGGTGAAGGCGACTGATCATGTGGCACAGTGCGAAGACCCTAGGTTCAGCCCCCTGTACCCCCAAAATGAAAAAGAAATCAAAACAAAATAAAAATACTATAGTATGGTTGATTGTGTGTCTTCTTTCTTAGCAGGTACTTGCTAGAATAGAGATTAGAAAAAGAAAACATAAGAAGTGGTGTAGGGGTTCTCTGTGCAGCTTTCCCAAAGGTTTGAAATTTTAAACTAAACTCGGTGGGGGTTGGAGGGAGGAAAGCAAGTCTTAGCCCTTAATGGCGACCCAGTAAAATTCTCATTCCTGAAGTTTGGAAACTTGTAACAGTTATCAGTTCCCACAAGCATCAACACCAAGGCTGCAGTTGCAACAAAAGGGTGATGTTGTAAATGTACTTGAAATTAATTAGAAGATAACTATAAACCCATTAAAATGAGAAAAGGCAGAAGGTCACCTGAAGAAGTCAGAAATGTGTATAAAGCTGACCCGAAGCTTGTTTATTTTATTTTATATTTAAGAGATAGGGTGGGGCTGGGGATTTAGCTCAGCGGTTTGGTGGCCTGCCTTGCAAGCGCAAGGACCCGAGTTCAATCCCCGGTACCAAAAAGAGAGAGAGAGAGACAGACAGAGAGAGAGAGAGAGAGAGAGGGAGAGAGGGAGGGTGTTTCTACAAGGTACAGGCTGCCCTCAAACTTCTGATCCTCCCACCTTGTGTCTCTCGTGCTGAACTTCAGACATGCAGCACCACATTGGCCTAGCCCACTCTTTTGGACAACTTTGGGGAGACTGAAGTCTGTGCGATGGGGCACAGGGGCCGCATGTTTGCTGCTCTTGGGACTCTTCAGCAAAGCCAGTGGCTGACTTTATAACGGACTTCAGACGCCTGTGGAATGAGAGCCATCCAACCTGTCTCCCTCAGAAGTCAGAGCCACCACACACTCTCAGGGCCTTTCCCCACTGCTCCAGGAACCCTAAGATGTTTGGCATGAAATATTACTTGAAAGAGCTCCTGACTATGAACTGCTAACATTTATCACTAATTCCCGAGGCCCCCACTGGACCTCAGGGATCTCCATTTCGCTAGCCCAGCTGTGGCCACGGCAGGAGGCCTCTCCTATCTGAGGCACCCTGCTGACCACACTGGGAGGCCAGGGCTGAACCACAGAGGGTGGGGCAGAGCCGGGCAGAGGGGACTACGGGGAAAAATGCTTTGAGCGCCCTAAGGTTCAGCGCCACGGTACCAAATTCCTCTCCAGGAGAGGGTTGTGCCTACTTAGTTCTCTGCTAAAGGGGCTGCGGCCTGGGTTTGTCTCTCCATTGCCCACTTCCATGTCGCCTCCCCCCATCATGTTCTAGGACCCCAGGGTCCAGGTGGGTGACCCAGCTGAGGCTGCAGTTCTGGCAGGGCCAGGGTGGTGTTTTTCTCTAAATAATTCACCGCGTGAGCACTGTGTTTCTGGCACTGGGGCCCCCAGGGACCTCCAGGACGATTTCGACTCCACCCCAGGGCCGGCAGGGGCGCTTTCCAGGATCGACCAGAGAGGGCTGGGTGCGGTTGGCCCGGGGGCCTTAACGAGGGCGGGATGCAGCCCGAGTGTGTCCAGGTCGGCGGACAGCAAGGGACAGACAGAGCTGAAGGGAGGGAAAGGGCAATGAGGGGAGGAGAGGGGAGGAGAGGAGAGGAGAGGCCCCCACCCCCTCCCGCTCCCGCGCCCGTCTGGCCGGCCCAGCCGGTCCCGGCGCCACACACAGACTGCTAGGAGGAGGAGCCAGACCGCGGCACCGGGCTGGGCTGTGGACGACCCTGGTGGTGGGACACTGTCTTGGTCTCAGTCACGCCGA